GTATAAACCAGTAGTCGGGCCTTCCAACCGAGGGGGTATCTATCCCTTCTTGCTATATCCGATATAAGTTTTTCATGCATGTAATCGTGCGACTCAGTTGGATCTTCAATCCAACTTTCTCGAGTCCACCCATGAAGCTCCAAGTATGGTGTTAGATTAAACCATGCACCCACACACTCACACTCATGCATACAGCCCATGAATGTGATGCCAGCACCATGCCCAATATGCTATAATTCCAAATGGGCAATTAAACCATATGTCCACATGTTCCACACATATTTCAACATATGTCATGGCAATTTATATCATAAGCATATAATTACCAAAATCCATCACAATTCATAAGCATGTTACCACAATATTCATGTCAATAAGACACTTAAATCACAAGGCATAATATAAACACATAGCATGCCCACATAAACCCAATTTTCAAGAGTTTACATATATACGTCCACATATCAAAATCAAACTAGAAATTGGTCTAAACCATTTCTGTACCCCTTTTCTTTATTTTCATGACTATAGGCAAGTCATAATTCATTCTCAACATCTAACCATTTCATATGAACACGCTAGGTTAGAAAAAAACCAAAGTAGGAGGGAACCCTACCTCTTGGAGCATGATACGAACGTAGAAAGCTTCTAGGCACCTCCCTATCCCCAAAAACCTTAATTTTCCAAAATCCTTCTTCGGATCATCGGTGAAATTTCTCGTTCTTGGTACGTACGCGTAGCCCTTGTCACGTAGATCAACTTTAATTTTTGGTTCGATGAATTCTGATCGACGGAACTCCTTGGATTGTAAGAAGAAAGGTAAAATTTTAGGCTTTCTCTCTTCTCTCCCTTTTCTCTCTTCAACGTCTGATTCTGCAGGCCAAATAGGGTGAGAATATCTGATTTTTCAGATATTTAGTCCCTATTTATACTTTTTAATTGCGTGGTCCACATTGTCCTACACATTTATTACTTCTGAGTCCGTTTTTAACCCAAAACGACTTAATTAATTCTCGATTTCAGTTCAAATTAATTTTATTTAAAATTTTATCTAATTATAAGGAATTTTTGTCAAGTTATTCGCCACTCAAATTATTTCGTAAAACGTGTAAAATTTGATTATCTCAAAATTTGATAAAATTTGACATGACAGTTCAATTTTGCGATACGAATTCAATAGTGAGGTCTGTTGCATCATCTGAGCTGTAGAAAAATATTAATTTTAAACAAGCATTATACTGACAAATTACTATTTTACCCTTTTTCTGAAAAAATTCAAATTTATCCAGGTTTTTACATGTTTAGTCCCAACACACACAAAATTTTCTTTTCATCTCCAAAGCAATGATATAAAATCAACCCATAAGTTTTCAAGATTCTCATGTATAACAATTCAAAATTATAAAATATTTAATTGCAACCCCAAACATCAACGTATATTATATATATGAAATATTTACACACACGCACCCATAAGTTTAATATAGAAAATTCTCCCAAATGAAATAGTAAACTACTCACCTTGGTTAACAAAATCTAATTCAAAGCCCTCTTTCACAACCTCAATGCAATCACCACCTAATCCAAAATAACATATAACGATCAATCCATATTTCTAACCTCGTCATTTTGCGATTTTATATTTAATTTTTGTACTTCTACCCATTGATAGATACTTTATATATCCTTTACATAGAAATAACATTTTTTTTAATATAAGATAATGTGGTATGGAAGTAGCCTGTGAAATTTAGAAAAAATTTCTAAACTTTTAGGGTCAAATCATAATTTTTGAAACTTTTGGGGTCAAAGTATAATTTTTTTGAAAAATGAAGGGGGTGTTTGGATTGAATCTGCAAAACTATTTTTTGTTCTCAAAATTTTAAAAACACTCAAAACATGTTTAGTTAGCATTTTTGTTCTCAAATTTTTGGGAAAAATGAGATTTGGAGCAAAGAAATAGAAAACAAGCCACACTTGTTTTCAGACTTTTCTTAGAAAAATTTGGAAACACGAGGAACAAACCTCTTTAATGAGGTCTGCCCTTTGAGTCCCCTTAGCAGCAAGGCTTCCTTTTTTTTTTTTCCTTCCTCTATGTCTCTCTCCATGTTGCCCTCCAAATAGAATGAACACACACAGAGAGGTTGTATTCTTTAGCTCTCTCTCTCCACTTTGCGCCTCAGACAGAACGAGCACAAAGGAAGCTTCGGATCTTCTCCAGCGTCTTCTTCTTCACCACAGAGGAAGCTTCAGATCTGCCTCTCTCTCTCTCTCTACACAAATCTAAGCACAAATATGTGTGCGTTTGTATATGTGTGTGTGTGTTTAGTGTGTGGTTGTGTGTATACCTCTCTATGTGTGTGTGTGTCTGTGTCTGTGTATGCATCTGTGTGTGTCTCTCTATGTGTGCGTGTGTGAGTGTGTTTTGTGGAGACAGAGAGAGGGAAAAGAAGGAGAGAGGTGAGAATTGTGATTATTGTCTAAATAGATTTTATAATTTTTGTTCTTTAAAACTATTTTCAAAAATAAATAACCAAACAAGTTTTGTAATCTAAAATTTTTTAAAAACACTTTCTTAAAAATCTTGCCAAAAATAGTTTTTGGATATTATTTTTTGAGATGCAAACCAAACAGGCCCGAAGTTTCTGTTTTCAGGGCTACCATAAATTTTCCAAAATGCTATTCTTCCAACTTACCACGTAAAACGGTAGTTAAAATTGAGTTTAGAAGAATAAAAGGGTCATAGACACACCTATGATATTACACTTTGAAATCTAACACCATGTGATATAATAAAATAAAAAATTGATAAAATACGTAATACATCCATATACCTTCAATGGATCCAACTCTCCCTTTTTCTTTTTCTTTTTTTTCCTTCCTTCTCTCTCTCCCCCCCTCTCTCTCACATTTTTTTTTCTTTGTTTGATGCCCCTTTGCTTTGATCTTCTAGAGTTTTACCTATCCAACAATAGTATCCTATTTAAATCACATGTAAAATATTTCTAATAGGTCTCTCTAGGGGCAAGACTTTCTATAAGGACTCATTAGTCCCTTTTTGTTATTTTTCCCTTATATATAATTAGTTATGGGTAGCCAGTGCACCAATTTAAAATAATTTAATAATCTTTTTTTTATATGGGTTATTACAATAAGTCTTAACCATTGAGGTTTGGGAACTTAGAATGATCCTATGATTATTGTATGCACAGGTTAAGGATTGGATAGGACTCCCCGTACAAAGGAGACTCTACACAAAGTCTGTTTTGGTTATGATCCTAGTGAATGGGGTGTAACAACATGGTATGAAGTTATGCGGTACTCACGAGTGTTTCCATGGGTTGATGGGTGATCAATGGGTTGAGAAAGGACCCTTCAATTTTTGGGCGTCATATCATGTCTGAGGGATCATTTGTACATGAGCAAGTGTTTCAGATTATCTATTACATTGAGCGATTAGAGAAGCTTGGTGTAAACCATAATGCAGATCTATCTAATGATATAGTTTTGAAGTCTCTCATGAATTCTTTTGGGTAGTTTGTTCTGAACTTCAACATGAATAAATTAGAGCCCACTTTGCCTGAACTCATTAACATGTTAACTACTGCTGAAGGGACATTCAAGAAAAGCAAGGAATCTGTGTTACTTGTTGATCAACCCTCTACTTCGGGGATCAAGCCCAAGGGCAAAGGAACCAAAGAGAAGGGGCATAAGACCCATCTGAAAGCCAAATGCAGAGTTAAGAGGATAAGAAATAAAAGGCCAAGGGAAAGTGTTTCCACTATGCCAAAGACAAACATTGTAAGAAAAATTGTCAAGAGTATCTTGCATCTGGTAAGGACAAACCTTCCAAAGGTATGCAGATACACTTTTCATTGAAACTAAGTATACTTGAACCTATAGGGTCACACATAATAAAATTAATTAGAAACTAAATGATAAATCACACATAATAAAATTAATTAGAAACTAAATGATAAATCAGAGAAAACTAATTAAGAGTTACTTGGGATAAAAACCTAACAAAGGGATTATATGCAATTATTAGATAATTACAACTTGACCCAATTAGGATTAGAGTCTTTTAAGACTCTATAAATACCTGCATGTAAGAGGTGAATATATGATATAATAACTCTTTTGTTAGCAAAAAAAATCCACCCCTCATTTTCTCTCTACTAGTTTTTATCAAAGATTGAGATAAATACTTCAAATTTATTAATTCGTGTAGATACTAATAGATGCTAAACAATTACAAAACTTACAGTAAAAATTAAATTCATATTTAATAATTAAAAATTATTTGAGAAAGCTTGTTAAAAATACACCTCAAAAAGTAATCTTTAATTTTTACTATAGATCTAAAATTTTTCAATTTATATTAAACATGAATAGAATCAAATTTTAAATTCCGCTACATTTTTTACATGATCCCTTTCAAGAACATCTTTCATGTTTCTCTCAAAAAGCCATTGTGGTTTTGTTTTGGGAAAACCGAGAATAAGAACTATTGAGTTCGTTGCTTCATGACATGGCATAAAAGAGAAGCAAATTTTTAAAAAATAATATTATTTAAATCTAAAAATTTATAATAATGCTACAGTAACCAAAATTAAATATAAAAAAGAGTAACCAAGTGATATGATGACCGACGTGAAAGGTTGATTAGGTTACATGTCAATTACCATGTCAGTTAATCACTCTTTTTTGTATCTAATTTTGGTCAATTGAACTAAAATTATGGACAAAAAAAAAGTGATCAAATGACATGACAACTGACTTAGAACATAATCAATCTTCCATGTCATTTAGTCACTTTTTTTTGTTCTTAATTTTGGTCAGTACAGCACTACTAAAAAATTTAACATAATTTATTAATTTAATAATATGACTTCATTAGAAATATTACATAACACCAAGTCTCAATACCAAAGTAAATTAGGTCTCGCAGTTAATCTAAAATTTATAATGAATTAGGTAAACAAATTAAACATCAATAACTTGTTTAGCATATCACAAACCTAGAAATTACTATTGCTAATTAGATCAAGTACAGGCTACAGAGACATACGAGAGGATTTATGAGCGAAGTGTCACTAGATTACTCAGCTGAAATTCCATAAGAACAACAGAGCAAACACATCGTCATTTTGTTACTGATTAGAAAACGGGCAAGGAAGACAAAAAAAGCACGCTATCTAAAAGAGAAATTTATAGCTCTTGTTTGGCTTCACTTTTCTTTGCATTTTGAATTGATTCTCCTCCTCCTCCCTCTTCTCCCACAGCAATGGTGACCACCTTCGGACCGTTGATACGATCCGGGGACTTCTTGGCAATCGAGACAGTAAGGACACCGTTCTCGAGCTTGGCTTTGATGGAGTCAAGATCAACGTTTTCCGGCAGCCTGAACTCCCTCCAGAACTTGCCGTAACTTCTCTCAACGCGGTGCCACCGGTCAGTTTTCTTCTCCTCTTCCCTCTTTCTATCTCCTGCGACTTGCACCACTCGGTTGTCCTGATCCACCTCGATCCTGAGCTCTCCCTTTTGCAACCCCGGGACGTCCACCATGATCTCGTGAGCTTTCGGCGTCTCTTTCCAGTCCACCCTCGCCGGAGAGAGAAGCAGGCTCTCGTCTCTCTTCAATGCGAGTGGTAGCTGTTCGAGAACTCTAAATGGGTCCGGAAACCGGTCCGCCAACAGGTCTGATGGAAAGCTCGGCGGCCGATCGCCGAATGGGAGCAGCAAACCTCCGTCGAACGCTGTTGTTAAACCCATCAGCAGCAAGAAACAGCACAAAAGCGACAGTACCACCTTGAAAGAAAGCCTCATTTTGTTCAAGTTTATATGTATTTTCAGATGTCTATGAGGGTTACTGACAGTAGAAGGAAACGGAAGAGAGGAATTTGGTGTTGGGTCTGTTGATTCTTCACTGCAGGGTGGCGAAATGTGGAATGAATTTATAGAACAGAGACAAGGCGAGAAGGCACGTGTGAGTCTTGAAAGTTCTTGTATCTGGGACTCGTTGCTTGGAATTACTAGAGTAATTAACAGTGAAGAAATGGCGAGAAGGTTCCAGCTGATGCAGGAAAAGAATATCATATCAAGATTACAGGGCGAGGACTTTCCAGAGACTTCATATACATATCTAAGTCAATCAGGAGAGAACCGATGAAATTTATACTATTTATTATAAATGTTAATATCCGTCAAAAATAAAATTAATTATACTTGTTTATATACTTTTATCTTATTTATGTTTTTTTATACCTATTTGACTTTTAATTTGTTTTAAATTTTTTTATAAGGACATCTGAATTTTTTTGAACTCAATTATATATATCTATATAAAGAAGTTAATCCAATTTATATTAAATTATTATAAATATATAGTTATTAGGTTAAATTCCACGGTCCAATATATGTTATATTTTTATTTATTGAGAAAATAAAAATTAATAATTCTATAATATAATTAAATGTGCAAATGTCTAAAAGAGTTAGAGAAATATCTAAATAAATAAATAAAAAATTAAGATTCAAAAAATTATAGAATAAATTAATAATTAAATTTAGCAATAATTAAAATACAGACTAATTATTTAACACCTAGTTTATTATTTAATTTAATTATATACATAATTCATATTTTTTGTGAAAATAATATTATTCAAATTTGTTTATATGCAATGCACGTCGTGCATTGCTAGTAAATATAAATGAACAATCATTTTGAAATAAACAATTAATAGCTATAAAGTGATGAAATTTGGACATTTATATGTTTGGTGGTGTTACGGGGTAAAATTTATTACCAAATTTCTGCCTCGTGATAGCACTGAGATCTTACACTCAGTCTTAGCCAAGCACTCAAAATGCTTACAGAAAGCACACACGAATAGAATAAGAACACAAAGCAAACACACAACACACATAATCTTTACAAGCCAATTGCCCAATCTTTTCTTCTTTAATAAAGCCTAAGGAACACTCAGTCAGCGTCTACTTATAAAAACATGCCCAACACTATGTTGATACACTGCAGACCCAACATGTATATTTATAGCATACAGAATGGTGGTTACAAAGCCCAATCGCCTAGCCAACTACATGGCAGTTCAGATCTGCCCACAAAAGCAGCCACAGTTTGTTGATGATGGTTGAGTCCACCTCCCCCATTTAATGGTCATGGTAAGGGGTAGTTGCAACTATTGGCTGACCCAGTCAGCAATTGCCCTTAACTGTTATGCATGTTGAGCGCAAATGCCAGTAACCCTCATGCTGTGCACATGCCATCATTCTGCACATAACCGCCCCTACATGCCATGCACATGCCAGCAACTGTCTGGAACATCCACCATCTGCAGGGCAAATGCTACAACCGTTCGAAATCGCCTCACATGTTGTGCACCTGTCTTCCTTGTGAGCCACAACACCTAATTAGCCTTGCCTTCGTGCCTAGCCATGCCCATACCATAGCTTAGTCTTCCAAGCTAGCGTTGCCCTACAAATTAAGTCACCCGACTAGCCTTTGCTTACAAGCCTGCTTCTGCCCACGTGCCCATGCATTAGTTCCTACACCTAGCCATGCATGGGGCTTCAATCCCACTGATTGCATCAAATCGTGCCCATGCATGAGCTGTCTCCCTTAGTCATGCATGAGGTCTTCAATCACCCACTGCTCATGCCCAACGTGCCCATTCATGAGTTGCCTCAACCATGCATGGGTCTTCAATCACCCACTGATTGCACCAAGGGCTTGCTTCCTTAAGCGAAACCTAGTTTGGCTAAGCATGGGCGCCTTTGGGCGAGGCTACCCCATACTAGTGCCGAGCCAGAAGCTAAGGGTGTAACAAACGACCCCCACCAAAAGAACTCGAAGTCCTCATCGAGAGGTTGTTGACAAAGTTGTTCCTTGACTCGTTAGGCAACCCTTATTTTGTAAACCCCCACATGTTTATATTAATATAATGATATAATTTTTTTAGTAATTCTAATATACGTAATGACGTAAGAATGAAAAACATAGATTATAACAGTATAAATAAATATTTGGTAGACAAATTGATTATGAAGTTTAAGTTGCGAGGGTATTTAAGCTTGGAAGAGGTTGTTAGGTAAGTTCAAAACATTTTTAGGTCAAAATAAGATTTCCATTGAATCCAAAAGGTCGAGAAACCTTAGGAGAAGTAATATGGGGTGTATTAGAAGTTAGAAAGTGTTCCGGAGTTAAAGCGCACTATAGAGAGAATTTCGGTAAAAAGGATCTTGGACACTACCTAGTATTTTGCTCATAACTTTTTATTCTAAAGTCCATTTGATCTAAATTTGTGACAGTGGATAGTAGACTTCTAGGGCTACAAAAGTTTATTTCATAAAAATTTTCGAATTCGACCTCCAAATGGGCCAAAACTGCACTGAAAGTTAGAGCAAAAATCTGTCAATCAAACCGTACCGGTACGCCCAACTCCAGAGGCTAAACAGTACCGGTATGCTTTATTTAAAGCTTGCGGAACAGTAAAAAAAAATGGGATTTTTATGTTTTAAAACACCATTCTAAGCCTCATTTGTCCCATTCTTTTATTCTACTCTCACCCCACACCTCTTAGAACCCTAGGAGAAGATAAAGAGAGAAAGAAAAGGGAGGAAGAAGGTCTTCAAAGCTTGGGATTTTGATTTGAAATTCTTGATTACAAGGTAGGGGGTTTTCTTCCATTCTTGTCCATTGATGGTAGGGCTAATACATATATATTCTTTGACTCTAAATCTTATATATTTGCTATGAAATCATCTTTTCTTGGTCTTCTTGCAATTATTATCATATTTTACACAAGTTAGGGTTGAATACCCATGAAATCT